CAGACTGACTGACTGAGTCCCTGACCCCATGGCTCGGCAAAAGAAATGCCAATCGAGCGATAAGAAAAATCAAAACTTAATTGAGTCTAGACTCTGCATTCAATCACAATTGCCATGGGGTCTTCTTCTCTTGTTTTCTAACATTAGCTACATGACAAAGTATTTTGCATAAAAAAGAGTCATTTAATAACAATTTCATTATTAATTGTTGGGCCAAATGATGACGCGTGGAATGCGTCGAAGGTAAGCAAAAACTCTATCTCATTAAAAAAAACACAATTTTTTTATTAGTTTAATTTTATATACATATCTCTTTAGCTCTATACATAATATCTATTGCAAATCATGCTTGAAGCTTTGACTTATGTGGCAAGTGGCAAGGTGAAGAATCCTAGCTAGAAGAATTGTATAATAGAGCCAATTGCTTAACTGAGTTATTATAATGAAATTGATCACAAATCGAACGCAGAATATATGCATGCAAACCCAGAAGTGGAATAATATATTAATTATTGAAGGGAATGAATATACAAATTATTACTTATTTATTTTCATATTTTACGCTAAAATCTAAGAATTCTAATATAGATAATGTAAAATTTTTAAATAGAATATATTATATATAAAACATAGACTGTATTACCTGTCCCTTGCTCGGAAATACCGGGTATCTGCTAATCGAGCCATCGTATTTATTTATTGTTTTTAATATAATTAAACCCTTTGCCAATTAATGTATTAATATTATGCCTCTGTGTTTGTATACAACTTTTTATGCAATTATGCTATTAATTATAATTGATAAATTTATGCAAACTTTGCGTATTTACATTTTATTTTAATTACAAATATCAACTTTTTTGCTCCCAATCCCTTTATAATTAATTATATATATGTATGTATATGTATGCTATATACATATACGTATGTAAATAAGTCGACTTTTTATTTGGCATGCAAAGCCGTAAAAATTGACGCGCAAACAAACATTAAAAATGTATTCAGCCCAACGGTAATTTTTGCTTTTGCATTCAATTACAACCGAATGAAAAAATAAAAAAAATATATATATATTCATAATTAATTTATAATGTGACAGACCACGTCTAGCCATGAAGAGAATTAATATAGCGAAAAAGTGGGTATAAATAGTAATTAAAAAATGTCCTCAGCTCAATTATTCAAGGTGTGGTTTATGGTAGTCATAATGTGGTCTACAGAAGCGACAAAAACAATTCACGAGTTCAAAGAGCGATAATAATTAAAATATATATATAAAGAAAGAAATTTTAATTAAAATGTGTATATATATATATGTGTGTATATGTGTATATATATATATGTGTAATATTAAAAAAAAATTATTCCTGATAAAAATTACTAAAATATAAACATGTTTTATTGTTAATGAGAATGTAAAAAGTATTGATAAAATAACAAATAAAAATAATAGCAAATAAAGAAATAAAATGATCATAATATTACTTATAATACTATATTAATTTAATATATTATATAAATATAATATAAATATATTATATTAATATTATATTATTATAAAATAATACTATTAAAAATTAACAAATAAAATTTAACAGAAAACTCTTAGTCAGCAAAACTATAAATATCTCACTTGAAAATATAAAATATAAATATTGTATATGAATAGAAATATATAGCATATTCTCACTTGAAAATATAAAATATAAATATATGTATAGAAAGCTTTGTAGCATATTCTTTATATGATTATTCAACATAAAGCAACATAAACAACATAAAACAAAAAAAAATTAATAAATAAAATTCAATTAATATTTTTTATAAACCACGAAAATTCATCTAACGCCATTAAAGAATTAGCAATCAGTCAGCTAAGTCTCCCCATGTACAAATGTAAAATACTTGAAGATCTTTAAAAAAAAACACACACACACACACACACACATAGACCTCCCATTGTAGTCGGTAGCCTGATAAACTAGCCCATGGAGTTGGATCGTTTATCTTGCAAACAAAATCTGTCACATGTCGAACATATTTATTGGTCGATCGCCCCGCGGGTTCCAGTTAGCCAGTTAGCCAGGTTAGGCAGTTTGGCTTGCTCCAAATCATGTACAAATAAATGCGCCAATAAATTTCATCATTAAAATCACTTAATTTTGATCTACGATGAAAATGGTGAAAAATCGCCAATGCCAATGCCAAAGCCAAAGTCAAGAAAATACGCAGAACCGGACCAAGCAGACGCTGTTGCACTTCGTATAAATCATAAAATAAAAGACACTAAAAGCAAAAATAAATCAAAAAAATACAAAAAAAAAAAAAAAACGATACACAAGAAAAAAAAAATATAAATATATATGTATGTGTATGTGTATATGCAACACATGCAAAACCGGGCGAACATTAGAGAAACTCTTTTTCGCCCATGCCAACGATCCGGTCTGGTTTTCTTCTGCTTCTTCATCTTCTTGAGCTACCAAGTCCAGCAGACCTGGTCGAAAATTAATTGTAAACGCGCCGCAAACACGCTCCACGATCCATGCTCCACACTCGAGTCCAGGCTGCAATCTACATAATTCCCGCAGCGAGCCCACCCCGATCCGTGGCCCGGTACTAGGAAACTCCCGAGAAACTTTCGATACGCATGCGTGGCCATTGGCCGCGACTGTCTTTTGAAATATGACGCCCAGTTCTTGGCAATAGATACGAATGTCTCGCCCATTTCTAATGGACGTCTGCTCCATGCACTTCCCAGAAGTGAGTGCCTTCCGCTCTCCTTCCCCATCTTCCTCTACATTTAAATGGAAGTCTCTCTTCTCTTTTCTTTGCATTTCCTATTTTTTTCAATTGGCTGCTAGAGAATGTGGCATTTGGTTAAATTAAAAAACTTGGCTACCAATTTGGTATCTTGGCTCGGTTCTGTGGAACTAGGAAACTGTAAAGTTACGAGCTGAAATTAATTCAACTGACGGTTCCTCTAACTCTGGCTAAATACTAGGCTAAGCTCAGCTTAATAGATTTACTTGTAGATCATTTATCTAATAATTTTTTATAATACCTATCTGCGCTTCTTATCTATAACATCCAGTTATAAATACATTGTATTACATAATTTGATTTAAATAAATCTTAAGTAATCAAGTTATACAGATAAGAAAATCTATTCGAGGATATTTTAGCTACTGCCAATAACAGTAAATATTGAAAAGTAATGGCAACTATTTACATACATCACTATGCTACATTCTAATGATCATTAAAAGCAGAGCGCTCATTAATTGAAAGTACAGTTACTACCAAATTTGTTAGCTGTGTTCGCTAAGCAGAGCCATTAGAGGCGCATGACTCTACATTATTACAGCTTAAATGTGCTGCATATGCAGTTTCATTTATGGCCCATAAACTGTCAGGCATCCACTGTCCCCAGCATCCGCAGGCCACTTGTCCAAGTGACTACTGTGCCCCAGTCTCCGCCTGTGAGTGCGCATAGCCTCCCGTTGCGCCAGCGGCCATTTGCTGCGTCTATTGGCTTCAGCTGGCTGCGGATAGTGTCGAATGTAATTTAATAAATTAATTGCAACAATTAGTTGTTGCGTCTCTTTTCTCTCTTTGGTTTATTGAAATCCTTGTAAATATTGCACTAGACGCACATCTCCATGGCAATTGTCCGCCATTTCCATTGAATTTATTGCGCATTTCTCATCCCGTTCGTAGCAGTCCCCAAAGGCGGGCCCCATATTACTTATGGCAAATTTATGCAGGTGCTATGAAATATACAATAATTGATTATTTGACTTGGATTTATATGGTGGGTGTTGCCAAAATGCGTTAAATTGGATTCAAAACAATTTGTATTGATTAGATTTCAAATAAAATTAAATAATTGCTAAACTAGATAAACGACTCGCAAGGAATGCAAGATTTTAAATAACTAAATACAGTTAATACATATGATTTGGTCATACATATGTTCAAAAAGACTTTCTAATATCACATCATTTCTATCCTTCAACTACTTTTAAGAGAGTTCGACTTTCGTATAAATGCAAAATACCTAGTCAATTCGTTAATCGGCAATTTATATGGTTTGCTTTGCATTCCACAATTTTGTCACCTGCATTTGTCGCCCTGTACTCGGGACTGGCCGTGTAACCCAGCTCCAAATCGTCTCCACTACATGCGCCCCATGTCAGATGGGCTAATTTATAGTGTTACATTGGACGTGACTAAACTACATGACCATTCCCATCTATTGATTATCCAAAACACCAAATACTGCTGCTGCTGTTGTTGACCGAGCAACACGTGGGCAACGGGCCAAAAAAGCCCAATAAAATGTTAGAACATCCGCTGCATATTGATGACAGACCAGACAGACGCTGCGGCCAGGAATGACGAGCGCTGCGAGCGTGTGATATATGCATTGTGATACCCTGTAATAAAACAAATTTAGCGAGCAATGGGAAATGATGTGCGAATATAACTCAAGATACTAAACTACTAATCTATTATATAATGAATCATTATTATAATATAATTATTAATAATATATTATTTAAATAGAGATTCCTTTTATTGGCTCCCATGCTGCGCTGTTCTTCAATCTCCTTCCGATCTATAAAGAAAAACAAATTTGTGTTGTAGACAAAAATAAAAATGATTAATAAAATACTCAGCAATATTCATGTAATTATTCATTTTGCCATATACAGGGCATTATCTAGTCCATCATTGTGCTTTTACTTGTACTGTTTTCGCTATTGGATTTGGGTTATGCGCAGCCCAAGCATCGCTCAACTGCAAAACGCGAATGCAACAATTCAGCTTTGGGGTTTGCTTTTGGGGTCAATGTCAATTTTGTTTTGTTGGCCGGGAGGTCGTGTGCCGCCTCCCCCAAAGCACGCGTTCGGCATCTTAAGCAGCAGCCGCTGCAACATATAAAATACCATATGACGCCACACAATCCAGTCAGTTGGTCAGCCACAGTCATAACAATGAAACTTAGCCCAGTTGTCATCGTATCGCTCGCTTGCCTGTTGAGCCTGGCTCAGGCGGATGTGCAGCAGCGTCGCCGTTATCAACAACAGCAGCTGCAGCAGCAGCAGCAGCAGCAGCAGGCCGGCTACAATTATCAGCCAGCGAGGCAGAGTCAGCAGCAGAGCGCACAGCCAGCGATCAGCTATGCAGCACCACAGCAGCTGTATAGAGCTCCAGCACAAGCGCCTGCTCCTGCTGAGCTGAACTTGGCAGCGCAGCAGCCACAGCAGCTGTACAGAGCTCCAGCATCAGCGTCCGCGTCTGCGCCTGCTCCTGCAGCGCAGCAGCCCCAACAGCTGTACAGCGCACCAGCGTCGCCAGAGGCAGCTCCAGCACGCCTGCAAGCCAAGCCGGCGCGCCTTACCGCAAACAGTGAGGCCCAAGAGGATATCGATGATGCCGCCGAGGAAGTGGAGGTGCCCAAGGCAGCGGCCGCAAGCCCAGCTGTTGGTGTTCCACAGCCCGTCGCACCCATTCCGCCGCCAACCGTTGTATATTATCCTGCAGGCGCCGTTGGATTTGTGCAGCCCACAGCCTATGCCAAGTTCATAGCCGCAGCTCCTCAGGCAGCAACCGCAGCTGCTGCCTACGTGGCCGCGCCTCAATATTATGCCGCCTACTACGGTTAAGGATATGCTAATTTATCAACGATATGAAATCTAAGAACTGCAGCTCTTATTTTCCAAATAAATTACGTACTCTCTTTCTCTATTCATCAAATCAAGTTGTTATCGTCATTCACAACACTGTAATCAATCAGCAAGCTTTGCAGCACTGCTCAGTGTTCATCAATGTCTTGCATGTATGTATGTATGTGTGTATATAAGATATACATATGTATGTATGTAGTATATACGCACTGCGTATTCTAATAATCATTTGTCTTAAGCTTTTATAATTCATTTGCTTAGTTAACAGCTCAGTTTTACAGCATTTCTCGTTACTCTTAATAGTTTTAATCATATTTCCGCAGCATTGCCCTACTCCTAAGCCTAGCCTAGACTTGGGTGATTAAGCAGCAGCAACAGAAACCACCTTGTATATCATCAAGGTAGATTTGTGTACCCCTCCGGCCCGCGCAGCAGACAGAAAGCTGCCATAAAACTCCAAACGGTAGGCAGGCAATTCCAGGCGAGCCTAACGAGCATTTGTCGAAAGAAGATGCGAAACGCGACTCGAAGGCTCGGCTCAACAGCTCTGACAATGAGTGAGCAAAGATAATCTATTATGACCGTAACAAGAAATAAATCCCAACTCGGTAATCCATCATTTTACGACTTGGCAATCAAAATAAGGAGTTTAGCTAAGTCAGTTAAGGAGTCAGACGGACACGCAGCCAGACAGATGGACAATGAGCAACCAATCAACGGCCAACAAAGTTGGCGAGCTACCTGATCAAGTGAATTGCAATTAGAGATGAGCTACTGAACGATAATTCCTTATTGCTGTCGATTGTGATTAATATCGATTCAATCGATAAAAACTGTCAAAAATGATAAGTAAATCTTAAAAAAAAAATTGTGTTTATAATAGGAATAATATTAGCTTAACATAATAATTATTTTATCCAGTTTATTAAAGCCGTATCATTATTATTATCGCATATTATAAAATGCACGGCAATCATATTGCCGTGTCACGCGCCCATCACTAGCAATGTCTAACGAACAAGTCGAAAATCATGTTAACGTTGAGCCCGAACTAGAAGCGGACCCACAGATTGAGCGAAGAGTTACGATCAGGAAACATGCATTTTCGACATGCTGCACACACATTCAGGCCAATCCAGCAGTCGCACCGAGGCGGGGCGGTGGCCCAAAGACGAACTCAAAAGCTCAATTTACGGCAGCCTGACGACTTGGACAAGTGGCAGGCAGCTAGGGGCCATTTTAGCCAGCTAGAGCCTAGCCAGGCCTGCCTGCCTGCCTCTACTTCTCTGCACGCCCGCCCGACCGTCTGTCTATCTGGCTAAATAGTTGCCAATAATCCGTGTCCAAATTGATCGGGTTGCCGTTTATGGTAATGGACGAACTTTGGTTTGGCCAAAATGTTGGCCGTTGGCCGTTGGTCACTGGCGACTGGCGAATGCTTCATTACCGATGCACAAACTTGGGCGTGCGTCTCAGAATGATTTGCAACGGTTTTCAGACGGCATTTTGCATTATTATTGCTTCATTTTCTACTCCATGAAGAATGCTGTCAATTAGCGTAAGAAAGGAGCAACAGTAGATGCTGTTTGCTTCCCATAGTTTGATATAGCCGTACAAAATGTAGTCTACAACTTAACGTGCAGGAAACCCAAGCAGTGACAGCCGCCACGCCCAACTGCCCCATTGCGCCCCACTCGAGTCGACTGTAAGCCCATTTGGAACTGCTCATACATTTTCAAAATCGCATTTAAAGGTGAAGGTGCAATAGTTTTAGTTGGCGGGTATATCTGGTTCGCTGACTCTTGGAGCCATGCCAGCCAGCCGGTCAGCAAAGCTTAACAAAATGCTCGCAAATTAAAAATGGAAAAAAGTACAGATATATGGGCTAGAAGAATAATAGCCATGGCAAAATCAACATGTGGGCGAGAATACTTTAAAGCAAAGCAATGGGCAAAAGCAACTTTAATATTACCCAACACTGCGTCGTATCAGTTACAAAAATCAGACCTTTGTGTGTGTGCGTGTGCGCGCTTGTTATTGTATTGGAGGAACTGTATTTTCAACGACAGCACAGTAGAAAATGAAAAAAGTAAGTATGGTGGCAGCGTTAAATTGAAAAATAACAACAGCTTGCTGTATAAAATATACCAATATTTACAAGATAGAATGTAATAATATTTTATTTTAAAATTTAAGCAAATATCAGTAAGTATACACAATATACTTATATTACATATAACATTAACTTCAACGCATTTAAAATGCTTTTACTTTTATATTGTTTTGTATTATTCTATTTGAAATGCGCGCTAAATAATTTGTAGCTTTACAGCACTAAATTTATCTTGCTCACGATGTGGCAGCACTGTTCATTTACTCGCTCAATTTCTGGCACTCGCTGGTAGAAACTAAAAAATTGTGACGTTGTGTTTTTAATTGTATCTGACAATGTTTACCAACGGAGTTTATTTTAATGTATAAATAAAATACATTATATGCAGCAGCCATTGGTGCGCTGTGCTTATCATTTAATGAATATGCTGAAAATAGGCCAGCTTCACTCTGCATATTTCTACCATGCAATGCGGCTTGTAACCTTCTCAGCTTTGCTTCACTAAGCACAGCTGTGGCATCTGTTTGTACCGCAACAACAACCACCTGCAAAACTTTCTTTAGTGCGTTTCGACGAGAGCACCGAAGTCAAAGATATGTATTGAAATCCAAACCAGAAACAACTTGTTGACAAAGCCCATCGGCAGCTACCTGTGCGCTAATACCGCCCTGTTCTCGCTCTGTTTACATATTCTAAGTAATCATAAAACTACACGTCAGCAGTCCAAATAGTGCAAACGGTAATTTATTTTATTTATATTAAACAGTCAAAAATGTTATTAATTAGTTTCACGTATGCATCTAGAATATGCGTCAACTAAAGGGCAAGGTAAAGGAGACGCGTAAGCAAAAAAAGGAGCGCAAATTGGAAAACGCACAAATGCAAAGCAAAATTGGAACTGTTGTATTGCCGGCATTAGGTGCTATAGCCATGATGGTAAGTAGTTATGAGAAGTGCTTTTCTTTAATAAATAAAATATGTATATTGATTCTAGATAGTGGCATTTGTTTACCTGAAGACGAGACCTGCAGTTCTGGCCTAGAAGGTGGTGGTAAAAGATAACTTGACGTAGTTTAAGCTAAAATAGACAACGATTTTAATTCAAAATTATTCATATTCGATTATACATATTTGATGCCCTGTTAAATGTGCAATTTGTTTTTAGATATTGTATGTATTACAAAATATAGTTAAGTGTCAACAAATCTAATGACTCTTTTACGGATTTACTAAATGTACTAGTGCTGTATAACGTAGTTATTGCAGTGGTACAACTGTTGCCCGCGCATTTGAATTTTAAAAGAGTGTTTTGTAAACTAATCAACTTCTAGCATTATTAGCATATTTAGATTTCTGGTGTTAACACACATACATGTGCCGAAACACAAAGGTACATCACAAAAAAAACAAGTTTTTTATTTTTGGCTACTTTTTGCTTTTTTACTATTTAGTGTTTGGACGTTGCTCGTTCGTTACGTTGGCAAAAAGCTACTTTCTGCATTTTTAAACTGAAACAAATTTAATAAATAAAATTTGCTAGAAAAATACTCGCAAAAAATAAAAATTTTTTGCAAATTGCCAGACAACATTAAACAGTTAATAAACTTCTAAAGTACTGCAGTTATTATTTATGCCTGTGATTAGATAACAGAAAAGGAAAAAAAAAACAACACAACATCACACAGAGAGAACGTAGTGTGCCAGCTGTTTATAGGCTCGCTCTTTATTCTCATTTAGAGACACACACACACAATTACACAGGCACACCAGCGCGCTCTCCCGCGGTGGTCGTTCCGTACAGATTTGACAATTTCTTGAACTCGGTTGTTGTTTTAGTTCTCACTCTGGCGCGTGCGGGCGAAAAAGGTGATTTTAATTATTGGACAATGTTGAAGTTTTTGGTGAGTACTGCACGTAATAAAAGTGAAAGTGTGTGAAATTTTCGATTGCACGACTGCAACAAGTCGACAGTGTTCTTTTGTCATGTGTTTATAAGTTAATCGTACAAATCGTGCTGTTCTTTTTATGGCGATGATTTAATGCCGCTGCTGTGTTATTGTTGTCACTGTGTATCATGGGACAAAGACATAACAACAATTTAGCCAGTAATATGCAAAAAAGAAAAAACACCAACAAACGAAATATCGCTTATTTATAATAAGTTTAAATACCTCAACTCATCGAGCTTCGTGCTCCTGTTGTCATATTTAAAAATGGATCCATAAATCGCAGGCTCCGCTTTTATGCAGCTGAAGTGAATCCTTGCTCAAAATCACTAACCATATAAATGGTGTCAAAGTTTAATGCGCATATGAAATAAATTAGTATGGCAACTCCACAAAAATATTCCGAGCTATCGATATCTAAATGGATCTCAATATACGATGCCGCCTTTTGGCTAGATACAATTGTATCTTCTATTTGGCCATAATCTCATGTTTCAATATGATACGAAAATCATTCTTGAATATGTTTATTCCATCACAGTAGTCAGATTAAAATTCAAGTAACACATCAATTTTTTTTACAAATTTAATGTAATTATTTGGAAATTTCTTTAAAAATCGTAAAGCTAAGAAAATGAAATTGCTTGGATTAGGAAGGCAAATATTAGCGAAACGATGGCAATCTTCATGCCAATCATGTGACGAGATACCTCCGTGCCCGGCCAAGCGAAGCCGTAGTCGACTGATTTTCTGTTTGGTCTGCAGCTTTAAAAAGCTTTGAATAATTTATTAATAAAACTCATTTATATTTTTATTGCAGCTCACCTTTGGGGCCGGAGTTTACACAGGTATCTACGTATCGCAGAATTACGAAGTATGCTCTCTTAAAAGAAATGAAAATTTGAAGCTCTATTTAATCCACTTCCTTCCACAGGTGCCTCGCGTAGATGATCCCCCCAAGCTGGTTGAAAAAATGAACAAAAAAATCCGCGAACTCATCGAGGGCAAAAAGTAAAAACTCAACTACGGATACGTAGCCTTTTAAACCCAAGCAGTTTTATTAACAATCAAAATATAGCTTTGTTCCGCGAACGCAAATACAAATTTCCAATACAGCAGTGTATCTGACTTTCAAATGTCGAGCAAATAACAAAGACACATTTTGGATTTCTCAAAACAAAATGTGGGAGCAAAATAATACTCAAAAAACTGCAATTGAATGCCGGTTCCGAAATAACAAAATTAACCATTTAATTGTTAAATATAAGTTATGAATAAATTGACCGCAATTTTAAATACATACTCTATCAAATTCTGTTTTTTGTTTACTCTTCGCAGATCGCCAACCGAACAGATAGTGCATGATATCAAAAAGGAGGCCAAAAAGATTTTGGATGATTGAGACGGACGAGACGAAAGACAATATATATATTTAGTTACATTTTTGTTATGTGTTAAACAAATTTATCTATGACTCAAATAAAGGATACGTTTAAAGTTACAATCTAAATAAATGAAACACCTCCTCCATAATACTCTAAACGCGTTTGGGGCTGCACAAAGGCCAGCCAGTCGGAGGCGTGGGTGGGTAGCAGGCCCATGCTATGACATTTATACAGAGCGAGCGCTACGTTCGCCAGATTTCCCAGTATATAGATTATGCGCTGACCGGTGCCCTGTGCACCCTCGGCCATTTTGGAAGTCACTTGTGTGGTAAACATTGCCTTAATCGGACGTATCAACATCATGCCCACCATCATGATCGGGAAAATGGATATCGAGTTGCCGGACATATACATAATGAACAGGTTCATAGGTATCTACAGAGAGTAAATAAAATTCAAAGGTTACAACTGGCCGTCTCTAATCGTATTCATTTCATACCTGTTTCAGTGGTCCCAATGCCAAATCCCATGATTTCTTAATTACCAAACGTTGATCACGTACGACTTCAGTTTGATTGACTAGAGCCGTGGGATTATATCCAGGCGGCGAGGGCATATCTGCATTTTTGCTGCATCACAGGAGCAGGAAAATTAGCCTGACGTGTTATTTACAACAGTTTCTATATTTACCTAACATTGAAGTCCAGGGCCCACTTAGATTTCTTTGAGTTTTGCTTGGCCGACATTTTAACAATGTTTTTGTCAGGTTTTCTGTTAATTTAATTGAAAAATTACTTATAAATTGGCACCAGCAGCAAAGACTATGTGTTATCGTTACTGACAAAAGCAACCCTGCACGTGCCGGGACAGTGTTGAGTAAACTTTGTCGACGATTGATCAAAATTTGCTTTTAAATTATCGATAACATCAGTAGACATTAATGAATAAATTAAAATATTTATTTTCATGTGTATCAAAAATGGTTCAGCATGTTTTGTTTATTTTAAATTTTATTTAGAATTACCTTTATAAATAGTACTTGCCGTTTTTTATTTAAATATAGTTTATGTGTTTATTGTTTGTTACTTGATTTGCTGCCAAGCGACGGACACAAACAAAAGAAAATTAAATGTTTTTTTCTTGTATTTTTTTTTAAGAGCAATTACAATTACAGTTTTGTTTTTCTCATTATTACTTTTATATTTATAAAATTAAAAAGAAATATATATTGATGAGGGGTAGGGCAAAAATAACTTAAAAAAGATAATTTTATACCATATACTTTTCTTGTTGCTTTAGTTTGTGGTGGTTGGGTTCTCATTTTACTCGTTTTTGCATTTGAACATCCAATAATTATATATATATATAATTTTAAATTAAATCATAGCGTTTTTAATATGCTGATGCTGCTTTGAAAATTTTTGTGTTATGTTGTGTATGTGTGTGTGTGAGTGTGTGTGTAGTTTTGTTGTTGTTTGCGATTCTTAAACAAGTTTTAATTATGCGAGCATCGGCTTTGCGTGTTTAATCTTTTACTTTTTATGTTTTTGTTGGAAAATATGGAAATGCGCAGAACCCGAACATCGCTCTTCATCTTTGTCTTCTTGTTGTTTTTATAATTTTATTCCCACATGTAAGATGCCGTTGTCTCTAGTTGTTGTTGTGGCTATTCTTGTTGTTGTTGAAGATTTCAAAGTTTAGTGTATAATTATTTTTGTTGTTGTGGTTGTTGTTGTTTTTTGCGGTTGTTGTTGTTGCTGCTGCTATTATTGTAGTTTATTTAGCGATTAGCATTCTTGAGCTGGTTAGACAACCAGTCAAGTCCCTCATAGAGACCGTCGCCGCTGGTTGCACACGTCGCCTGTATATACCAATTGCGATTTCTGAGTGAATGCAAGCCTAACTTATCGGTAATTTCAGCCGCATTCATTGCATTTGGCAGATCCTAGACAGGAAGAGAGAAAAATAGAGAGAGAGAGAAGGTGGACATTTAGTATTGATTAAAGAAATGGAAAAAAATTTCTCTATTAATTAGTGGGAGTGCACTTTTAAGACCCTGGTTATCTCGCGCTACAGTTTTTCTTTCTTATCAACACCAATCAACATTTGTTTAACACGTGCTTTGGTCTAGTTTGCGCAATATGCTATTTCAAAAATGTTGACGTCATGGAAGTCGTTTAATTTTAACAAAAACTATGCTCGAAGAAACATCCGCTAATTAATTGTCTACTACTAACTAAATAATTACCTGTTTGTTGGCGAATATTAGTAAGACTGCATCTCTGAGCTCGTCCTCGGCCAGCATACGCATCAATTCCTCTCTCGCCTCGCCGATACGTTCTCGATCGTTGCTATCAACGACGAAGATAAGACCCTGTATAAAGTATATAAATAAAAGAAAAACCATAGAGCAATGTTAATCGGGTGCGAAGATAACGATTGGAAATAAGGTATGCAGTCTATAATAGGAGATATCAGTCCCGTCTTGAAACAAAAATTAACTTTGAATAATCATAAGTAATCATTACAAGTTGTTAACATCATCTAGATTGAATTAATTGCTGTTAAAGTTGATTAATGGGCAGTGAACGTACTTGTGTATTCTGGAAGTAATGCCTCCATAATGGACGAATTTTGTCTTGGCCGCCCACATCCCACACTGTAAAGCTAATATTCTTGTATTCTACAGTCTCCACATTGAAACCTGCAAGTGAACGAAATAGGGAACAGATTAGTATTTATTCAATTATCACAGATGTCTTACTTACCAATAGTAGGTATCGTTGTAACAATTTCGCCTAATTTGAGTTTGTACAGAATTGTGGTTTTACCAGCGGCATCCAAACCGACCATCAATATTCTCATTTCCTTTTTGCCGAAAAGGCCTTTGAATAGATTCGCAAATACATTTCCCATGATGATGCTGCTTGTTGCTTCGCTCCTTCTCCTTTCTGTCTTTCAATGTGGATGGGATGTTTATTATATAAATTAATTACACTACACAGCTGACTGTTGATTCTTCTTCTTCTTCGTTTAGTATTTTATAGAGTAACTTTTATAAACAAGTTCAAATCCGAGTTGCCAAAACTGCTGTCGAATGCAACTCCTTTGGTGGATGTGTGCGGTGCTATTGCAACTTGAAGAAGAAACTGCAATGAATTAAAGAGACCAAAAGATCGAGTGCAAAAGTTAGTTTCACTTAGCTTAATTCGATTAACTGACAAATAAATATATAATAAAATTACAACAAAGGGGAGCGCAATTAAACTGAATTGAATGTGAGTAGTGAAGTTTTAGTCAAATGTTGTTCAGGTTTCGCTGCTTAATTGCAAACTGTTTTAATAATTAAGCTTCGATTGTTAAGCTGACGTGTTTGAGGCGAGCAATGATGAGTAAACCGGAAAACGAAATGAAATTATGAAATCTACCATTAAAAAATGAAAATGCGATCAACAAATCTGCCTCAACCAAGCGAGCCACTTAGCCAGCGAGAAAGTGTAGAAATTGCCAAGGAAAAGCTTTTACCAAAAAAGTTCATTGACAACCGCAAGTTCAAGAAGTCGCATTCAGAAAATAGAAACAACAAAGAAAAGAGCCTGTCAAAAAGAAAAGACAACATTGATTTGACTGTTAGGTTCACAGCCGGCGCTCAGTCGACGCTGACGTCGCAGCAACTGATAAGGTATTGATTTTTTTTGTTCGTCTGTGTCGCATGCCCTTTTAAAGGAAAAACGTGTAGTGCGCGTAAATTATTAGATTTATCAGTGCAAATGCTTAGCGCTCCCGCTCGATGACTCGACCGCTGTCCAAGTCGAAATCTGTGGTGAGTCAGCAACAGTAGCGGATTTAACTATTGTTAGTGCGTATGTGTGTGTGTGTGCGTTTTTTTGAGTAAAGTACTGACACACATACATCAATTTACTCCAATTTGCAATTGAATTGAAATTTTAATTGATTTCGAATAGAAAACCACTACAATGTGGCAGCACATTGGCTACCTTTAAAAAAGGAATGCGCAAATAATAACTAATGAACACGGTACTTGAATAACTCGCATAAATACTGTCTAAATGTCGCGCCTTTGCAAAGAGAAAAATCAAAACTAAACCATTCAAACGCAATGTCGCAAAAAATATGTGTAAGAAAATTAAAACTACACGTAGCAACTTTTATATGCCGCCGCCAGCAGCACAGCAGCAGCAACACCCTGCAACGCACACACGGGCACAGTACATAAACACATATACGCACATGAGAGTTTAGGGTTGCCTAAAGACTTGTGTGCGTGTTACATTTTCGTTGTTTAAGAAGTTTGGCAAAACGAAAATCACATAGACTGCCATTGATGGAGTTGAAAGCTCATCAAACGTGTAGAATTGTTTATTTTCCATTGTTTGCGTAGCAAATTAATACACTGGGTAACCCACGCACACACTAGACAGCCCTATGCAATTTTTTAAGTGTATGTGTGTGTGCGTGTGAGTGGATGCCTTTGTGTGAGTACTAAGAAATGATGACGGCGACGTATGCTTTTTTTCATTTGCTGTCGTCGAACAGCGGTAGCCTTGTTTTATTAATTTTTAGTCGAAATACTTGATTGATTTGCACTTTGGACATTGCTTTATTATTACGTTTTCATTATTTGCACTTTGCACTCATTATTTACCGTTTTCTTTATAGTTTTTTTTGTAAATTTCCCTTTGACCAAATTTTCTGCCTCAAAACCGACAGCAAAGAAGAATGTACAAGTTGGCGATGACACAGAGTTGGTTGCGATACTGTTAATCGATTCCCACTGTATGGGACAATCGATTGTTCTCACTTTTAAAAGGAATTCAATAAAAAATGCATTATATAATAGAGCAATACTATCACAATGCAAAACAAATTGAAATAAATGTGCAGTAGTTTAAATAGTTGTAGGAAGCGGCTTAAATTTCTTTTATAGTGAACGATAATTTGAGTTTCGTGCATTCGATTGCAATACCACTCCCATCGCAAGTAGCTCACGTCAGATGCATGTGTGCGTGTGTTAAAATTTCTACACTAATACACCAACATCACCCACATTGCTGCGGCAGCACTCTTAATACAAAAAGATGAAAATGCTACCAGCTTTTTACTATAATGCGCCGTTTTATAACAGTAGCACCTAAGACTTGATTTACAAACAATACGCACCAAATAATTGAATCAAACGCACACCAATTTGAGCAGAAATTTTAGAAATTTCTGCTTGGAAATGTCTAAAAATCACAGAGCGAAATAAAACTTGACCGAGAATACACTTGCCTTTGAAAAAACTGCAAATTCACCAACGCTGAAAATGAACGCAATGCTGAGCGTGCCCGTATGCTAGAGCAGCAGCACTATAACATGCTATGGTGGGTTCTTATACGGCATTCATATGCTGCCACGTCTTGTCCACAAGCGAGGCCGGTGTGTTGAATTTAGAGATGATAACAAGCGTGACATGCTAGATATTCCAATCGATTTACAGAATGTTTTATCCAAAAACTCCATTTTATGGTAAAGGATTACTACTAGAAAATCAAATTCTTAAAGTAAACGTGAGTCAATATTACAACTGTGTTTCGAGATAGGGCAAACAGTTAAGCGACTCTACTGTCAATATGTTGTCTAAGCAGACGGGCAGAACGATATATCGATAATTCTGTTGTCTGCTAGGGCAACATTGCTCTAATTACTCAACACTGATGTTTAACTTGTGATTTTATTAAAGTTCGTGAATTTTCATCAATTTTTACGCAGTCCCACGAATTGAACAAACTATTACCATGGCTCTGCAAGACGCCCCGCACTACAACATATCGCATCAACACACTACGCACCAGTGTGGCGGACTACAAACTGAAATTGGAAACCAAATTAAGCGCGCTTTATGGTTCGTCAGCTCCTCTAGTTTATGGGTTGAAGGAAATACCTGAAATGCTGTGCATTTCACCTTTGGACACAACAACGGATAATAAATATGATGACTGCCGCAAGGAGCTTATTGTTGACACCAGTTGCGGCGCTGCGGTATTGCGTGGCGCACACATTTATGCTCCTGGCGTGTTGGCCATGGAATCTGGCACTCAGCTTCATGAACTTGTAAATGTGTTCGCCGATTTGCCAGGCAAATGTAAGCGGGGCACAGCAACGCGCTACGACTGCAATGAGAAGATCTTCATAGGTGTGGGTGAGGTGCTCATGCAACGCCATCAGCTGTACAACAACAAGGAACAACCAGCTTCGGGAATTGCTGTGCGCATGCAAACGAATGTAAGTGGAGTTCCCACATTGGGAGATCTAAGTGATGAAGATGCACTGCTCCAGAACTTGCCCTCAATGGTATGTGTAAGGGTGCTAGATCCTCAGCCGGGTGAACGCATTCTTGATATGTGCGCGGCACCAGGCAACAAAACAACACACATGGCCGAACTGATGTGCAACAGAGGCACCATAATTGCCCTGGATAACTCAGCGAGTCGTGTGCGCTCTATGACAGAGAAGCTTGCCAATTACACCTGCATTACGGCGCATCAATTTGATGCTACAAAAGCATGGGATGACAACAGTGATATAGATTCAATAGCTCCGCCATTTGCATCCGGTAGCTTTGATCGCATACTATTGGATGCACCCTGCAGTGGATTGGGAAATCGTCCGCAGCTCTGTTGCAACATTAAGCAACCCAAGGTGCTTCAATCCTATCCACATATACAGCGCAATATACTATCTCAGGCTGTGCCCTTGCTCCGTCCTGGTGGCATCCTTGTCTACAGCACCTGCACCGTCACCGAGGCTGAATGTGAGGAGATCGTGTCCTGGGCTTTGCGCAAATACACTGAACTGCAGCTAGTGGATGCGACACCGAAACTGGGTGCACCTGGTCTACCATTGCCAGGTCTGGAAGCTGCTCAGTGCGACCTTCTGCAGCGCTTTGGGCCAAGTCGTGAGAATCGTATGCAAAACTTGGATACTGTCGGCTTCTTTATAGCCAAATTTCAGAAGAAGCGAGAGATTAGTTAGAACTAAGCAACTTACTGTAATAACTATGATTGAAAGCTATAAAATAGAATAATATATAAAATTAATGTATCGGAACTGTATTTTATTTAGTTTTTTTCTATGCAAGATGAGTTGATCGCATTCATCCAGAGTCGAATTATTACTTTTTTTTTTTCATTTGACTTGAAATTGCTATTCCTAATTTGTTATTTTTAAGTTAACTAAACTACACAGAATTCGTTTTCCCAATTATCAATTCATCAATTTGTATCCAAAGTCCATTTGAAATCGCCTGAATTTCATATTTTATTATTTTAATTTAAATTGCAGTTAATATATATATTTGTTTATATTTTACAACTATGCATTTTGTTAAGTGTTTGTGGCATTTCTTCTGTTTTCTCTTTTTTTAATAACGAAATTAGCATATTGTTGTTTGCTTTAGTTCATTCGATTTTAAAAATTACTTAAATAATGTACAATACATATCAATAATTATAATATTACAATTACATGATCTATTTCTAAATTGTTTTTGCTGAGTGTGTGTATCTGTATGTCTGTGTATGTGTCAGTGTGTGCATGTCTGTGTGTGTTGCAAATTCTAAATGTTTTGCTGAGTTATCTAAATAGTATATTTAACTTCTTCTCTTTCTTCAAAATGCAACAGCTGCATTTAGTTGTTGCTTAGAATAAAGAATTGCATTATGATTTACTTTAAGTTATTTAAATTAGATAGTTTTTGTTTGCTTGTTTTTGTTTATAATTTCTTGCTTTAATTAATACAAGTACAAGTTGATTTGTATTTAAGTTCTCTAATGTATATTTGTTGCCGCTGTTCATGATTGAAGATTACGCTTGGAATCGACTTATCCATTAGATCAGAAAACTCTGCAATCTCCAAAATTTACATAGCTTCTTACTCATATATGTATATATAAAAAAGATCTCAACCCCATCATGTCAAAGTAATATTACTTTACTGAAGAAAATTTCAATTACTGCAAAGTTAGCTTTTTTTTGTTTGTTTGCATGGACCTTCTGAATAGATCGAATTGAATTATTTAAAAAAATAGAAGTTTTTAGAGCAAAAGGATGGGGAATGCGTATGCTCAATGTGCGATATGGTTGGCAAAATGGGAACAGCTACGGCTACGGCTACAGCTACAGGATGCCGATGCTTAAACTTTAAGCGTGTTTCCTTCTTTCTTGTGTGTGTGTGTGTGTGTTTGTGTATCCTTACAACAACGGCCCGTGCTTTATATTTATGTATCGTTATAATGCTTACGAGCTACATACATGCTATATATCTTTTCTTTTTAATTCTTTACGTCGGGATATTTAGCGTCTTGAACTGATCTTCTTGCATCTCAGTCATCATGAAGGTGCCATCCTGCAGCAACAAAACTACGCGACGGGTTCCACCTGTAATTTGAATAAATTTAAAGTTAAATGTATGAAATTATTTTAAATTAATGACAATCGCTTACCTGGGGAAGGTAAATCCGCTTGCACCACTTCGGCAGGTATTTGTGCCTCGGTGCCATCGCTGTCCGATGTTGTGATGTGAATCTGCGCCGTGTGCGGTGTGCTGCCCGCTGATGCTGCTTCCTGTTGCTGCTGCTGCAGCACGGCAGCCTGATGCTGGGCCAGTTCCTCCTCAGTCATGGTCACAAGTATATGCTCGCCATCAGCGGTGGCATCGCCTTGTTGGCCCACAGCGGCGACGGCTTCAGCCACAGCATTGTCCAGCGTTAACACATCCTGATCGTCGCCCTCGGCGGCTGCTACATAGGCGAACTGTTGCTCCCCATCGGGTCCCTGGGTCACGAGTATTGTCTGGCCCTCGGCATTCTTGCCGGCCACCTGATAGACGGTGCCATCTTCGCCACGCACCAGCAACGCGGAGCCATCCTCGTTGGTGAGCACCTGCTGATCACCACCGAGCAGCGCTTGAGCGGCAGCTTCTAGCTGTTCGCGCTGCTGTTCCTGTTGTTGCTCCTGTTCCATTTGAAGCTGCGTCTCCTCCTGGCCAATTAGCTTGCCAGTAATGGGGCACAGCTGTGCCTGATGCTGTTGCAGATCTTCCTGCTCCACCTCCATTTCGATTTGCATGGGTTGTGCTTTAGCGACTGCTGCATTTGTAGTGCGTTGTCTCAGTGGGTTCAACTGTTGGACCTTCTGGATCTGCACCTGCTGCTGTTGCTGTTGCAAGGCTTGCGCTTGCTGCTGACGCTGTTGGCGCACCTGCGCAACACGCTGGGCCTGTAGATCCTCTCGAGTCATCACCTTCCGCGTCACCTTGAGATCCCCAGACTTTGATAATTGCAATATCTTTTGCTCCGGCGTTACCGCCTTGGATCCAGCCACTTGTCGCTGCTGTGGCGTATTGGCGCGCGTGACCAGCATGCGTGCTCCAGCTCCAGTGGTAGCTCCGCCTCCAGCTCTGGCGGCCATTGGCGTCTGTCGCAGCGGATTAGGCGTGCTGCTGCTGCCCACAGGCCGACGTTGCATAGGAGGCACCTGGCCAGGAGTGCGCAACACATGCGTGCGCTGACCAACGGTAACCGGTGAATTGTTGCCAGATGATCGACCAACAGCCATGCGCTTGCCCACTGAGGATGTGGTTGTCTGGCTAGGTTTTGGAACTGGCGAAAGTGCGCTACTCTCCGATTCTACGCGAAAGATGCCGCTGTTGTTGTTAACCATTTCAGAGCGGGATAAATAACGCACTGGACACTCAAGCTTATTTCGTTTCTTAAAAAGGAAAGAGATAGAGATCAGATTAATATATTTATAGATAGAAATAAATATATGTATATTTTTATCGACCATCAGTACGAATACTTACTGCGTATATAGTATTGGGCATTTCGGGCTTTCGGAACAGGCCCGTGCTTGTGCTGTCCTCCGTGTAGATGACCTCACCCATTTTCTGCTCCTTATCGCCAAAAAGAGAGCTGGACGAGGAATTGCCATTGATGCGAGCAGGCGTGGTTGGCATTTTGGGCTTATTCAGCTGCACGGAGCTGCCGCCGTTTTTTAAACGCTTCACAGTGTGCGAAGGTATTAGATCCTCCTCAAGATCTTCTAGTTCCATCGAGTCATTGGAGGCATTTAGTCCAGCAGCATCCGAACTGGAATCTGTATGATTTAATTTCCGTTTAATACCTGTTGCCGTCGAGCCAGTTGTCGACCATTCCTGTTCCGTTGCAGACTCATCCTCATTAGCCGAGGAGGGCGACGTCGAGCCCTCGCCGGTACCACCTTCGTTAACCCATTGTTTGAATTGATCCATAGCTTTGGTCTTGGAAGTGCGTGATGGACGCGATGCGCCAGTGCTTGAATTGGGTGATATTGCAGAGGATTGTGGACTATGCGGGGCGGCGTCCGATTTGCCACTTGTCTGAGACTGCTGTTTGTCTTGCTGTGGTTTTTCCTGCTGCATACGCTTAAGAGCATCTAGGCTCTTTTCACGCTTAAGCTTCTGCCGCGCCAGCTGCTTTTCAAACATTTGCAGAAAGTGGGGTACTCGTTCCAAATTGGCCATCACCTCCCATGTATTTTCATTGTGCGACCGATCAACCCATTTAACCAGATATTCATGGGTTTTCCGGCGTGGATTAAAACGTTTCGCCACAATACTGTCCACAGCCTCCTCAGTTCGTTGCTCAGTTTTGGGATCGACTCGCGTGGCAATGCGATTGTTATTCTTGACAACGCCCGATAATGTTGATTGTGCTGCGGCTCCAGGTGGAGTGGGCGTACCTGGTTTCGACTTGGGTCGTTCATTTTCTGTATCCTTGAGTTGTGAAGCAACAGTTGGCAATTTACCACCAGGCGATTCTATAAGTGGACGAAGATTGTGTTATTTAGTATATATGTATAAGAAAAACTATTTACTCTTACTTCGTGTGGGCGAAACACTTGAAGTGTTGTTACTGTTCGCAGTGCTGTTGTTGTTATTATTGTTGTTGGGATTCACAACAGTTTTGGTGATGCGCACAGGCATATCCTGCAGTTGGCCATGCCCGATTTTGCCAAAGGACTGTATTGTCCGACCGGCAACAATCCAAGGTTCACGCACGCTCTCTTCTAGCTTTACCCAGTGCTGGTAAAGTGCCCAGGAATTGGAAATGTTACTTTCCTTGCGTGTGTGTAACTGTGTGGCCTTCCAAAGCGTGAATGCCCAAATTGTGGGCTTGGTGTCGAGAGATTCCTTCAAACTTGAATTTTCCTTCTCACAGGCATCATCCTCCTTGTGCGACTGAAACTCCTCAACAAAGTTAAAGGCGCGCAAGCAGCGTCCACAAACGAGCACATCCATGTTGGCTAATTCCTCTTGGGCAACTGTATAACGAAGGCTTTCTGTTAAAAATTTCTTTTTTTTTTTTTTTGCTTCGACTTTCAACCACTTGCCTCTTATTATATTTGCGTGTTTGCCTATTTCCGTCGGTGCGATCTCCTGTGCCAACATTATACAAAAAACCACCGTAGTAACTGTAAAATGTACAATTTGAATTTTTTTTCTTTCACAATTTAAAAACAAATAAAAACCGAAGGAAATACGCGCACAAACATACACACGCACATGAGAGCAAAAAAAAAATAAAAGTACAGTGCCGTGGTGTGTTTTGTGAAACGAAGTGGCAACATTCACAACTGGCAGCAAAGTGTGGTGAATTTTTAGCTGTATGTAATGGCTGCAGAAAATACAGAGCCTCAGCAGAAAGACGAGCACAAAGCGTAATGGCCAAAAAATGCAACGAACGCCCGCACAAAAGTAGACGCACAAAACAGCAAACCGGGCGCGAAAATGCAACATCAAAACATGAGCTCCTCTACACAATATTTAATTTATTCAAATTTATATACATAATAATATTCTTTTCTTGTTCTTATCTTTAACTAGCCGCCATTTTTGGGTTGAACGCCGCATATTGCATTTACATCTGCATTGAATGTATTAATTAAATATAGACACCCATTCACTCACGAAACTTAGCTCAAGGTTTTATACATGTTATACGGATCATTGATACAATACAGCCCCTTATCAAGCTATATTTTAGACAAAATATTCCATGTATGACCGCTTTTT